GGATTGGTATAGACAGAATAAAATTCCAATACCAAAAAACACTATTCTTAAATGAGTGCTCAATACTTAGTAGAGCAAACAGTATATATTCAAAAATTATACCATAAACATGTTATAACATCACTACAAAAATAGTCATTTTGTTTCAACACTTCTGTTGTCTTCTCAAGTGATGGTGTTGAATGTAAGTGTTGAAACAAAATGGATATTTTTGAAGTGATGTCATAACATGTTTATGCTATAATTTTTGAATAAATAAAATTATATATATATATATATGTATGTGTGTGTGTGTGTGTGTGTGTGTGCGCGTGTGTAAGTGGTTGATGGTTTCTGTTTGCTTTTTGACCATGAGACTCAGGTTCAAAGCTTATCATGGTTGATTTGTCAGGAAAGTAACTTCTTGATGTTATCAGTCTAGGGGAGTTGAATCCTAGCATACAGCATCTTTGGAAAATGCCTGAAAACCATACCGTACCCTGGGTTGAACCAAGCCTTGTTATTCAAACTGGGTAGCCAGAACTCTTTGGAAGCCATCAATGGTTGTGCTAGCACAAAGTCACAAGTCATCATGACTGACTGTGTGCTGGCCTTGTTCAGACTGTTGATCATGTTAAATGATGTGCTCTCACCCATAAATTATAACTAAGCTCTGCTCTTGCAGTATAAACCATGGGTGGGCTCTGTGGGTGTTAAACAAACACAAATATGCCTGAGCAGGAGTCTGCAACAGGAATTGGCTAGTCATCCGAGTGGACAGGCGTATCAGCAGCCAGACATTATATGTACACTACCAACCAAAAGTTTGGGACAACATTGATTTTTATCTCTAAACTTAAAAAAATTGATCAAGTTTCATGTCTTTAAAGAAATCAATTTATTTTTTTTCTATTTTTGCATGCAGTTATGAAATAATTTAAAACAGAATGAATATAAAATAATTATAATTTCATTTAAAGCAAATTTATATTTTCTTTTCATCAAAGAATCCACCACAAGCATTTATTATTGCAGAGCAAATTCTTGGCATCCTTTCTTGTAGCTTGTAAAAGTATGTTTGGTGGAAATGTTTCCCAAGCAGTGTGTAAATGTGGAAACACCTCTTGCTTATTCTTAAGCTGTTCACTTTAAACTTTATGATCAATTTCATCCCAGACTAGTTCAGTTTGTGAAAGATCTGGAGACTGAAGTGGGGGCCAAGTCATAATTTGCAGAATTCCCTTCCCTTCCTTTGATTTTAGACAATTTGTACACAGTTTTGAGCTGTGTCTTGGAACATTATCTTGTTGCAAAACAAAATTTTGTCCAATAATGCATCAGCCAGAAAGAATTGCATGCCTCTGCAGTATTGAATGATAATATTTCTTTTGCATAATGCCTTTAATTTGAACAAGTCCCTAGCAATCTTACCTCCAGAACATCTACAAACCAATACAGCAGCACCACCACCATGCTTAACAGTTGGCACAATGAAATTTTCACTTATTTGTTCAGAAGTTCATCTGACAACCACTCTTTGTTTATTTAAAAAATGCTCAAATTTGGACTCATCAGTCTATAGCACCTTTATCTAATCTTCTAAAGTTCAATCCTTGTGCTGTTGTGTCCATTTGAGTCTTTTCAACTCATAATCATTTTTTTTAACAGAGCTTACTTGATATACATACCTTAAGGACAACAGAAAGAAGACTTCTCTTAACTGATACGCATCCTTTAAGGCCAACAGAAGGAAGTCTTCTCTTAACTGATACGCATCCTTTAAGGGTAACAGAAAGAAGTCTTCTCTTAACTGATACACATCCCTTAACCCCAAAAGAAAGAAGTTTTCTCTTAAGTGATACACATCCTTTAAACCCAATAGAAAGAAGGCTTCTATTAACTGATACACATCCTTTGAGCCCAGCAAAAGGATTCTTCTCTTTACTGATACACATCCTTTAAGCTCAACAGAAAGAAATTTTCTGAAAATTAATTTTAGTTACATATTTATCTAGATGGAATTGACTGTCTATTAAATAATGGAGTTGAAATATTTGAAAATTTCTGCATAAATTCTGAAAATGGATTAGGTTGGAACAAAATTTCCAAAGTTTATGCAAATAAATTTATAATGCTTGTAGAAAAATTTGTTTAAATTTTATATAATGGTTTGCATATATCCACAATAGGTAAATTTATTTATCCAAATATGCAATTTAGTCTTTTTCATCAACTTAGAGAAAATATTCAGAGTGTTTTCAAACTTTTGATTGGTAGTGTATATGGCAGTGATGGGTAAATTGTTGCCATTTTATATTTTTAATTGCACACATGCATGTTGTTTGTTTTTGATTTTGTATAATAGAGTCGGTTGAGCACTGTCTGCGAGAAAAAAATAATCACCAGAACACAATTCATTCTGCAAGAAAATTGGAAATGTCATCCTGTACTGCTTGGCATTCATGCCAGATGCTCCTATATGAACATTTCAGAGTGTTTGGGTATCAATGTGAGAAAAGTGCAAAGTATTTGGAAAGAGTTGGAAGAGTCTAATGGTGATTATGAAGTTGTTTGGACTGATCACTAGATCTGGCGACATTATTCCTCTATTCATTTTCCCACAGGGCCTAAGACTCAACATGGAGAACTACATAAAGTGGCTGCTGAAGAGGACTCTACAACATGCCACACAAGCAGGAGAAGCAGTCATGGCTGTCAGACTTTTTCTGCAACGACATCATCCTTATATCTGACTACCTAACTTGATATAATGCACCCCACTTGATTTCAATGATCCAATTTGCTTTCATTTGTTTTTTAATACAGCAGCATCAGCTACTGCATAAATAAGTATTATTTGTTACCTCCCTTTTGTATTATTTACTACATCATAAAGTCAGTTTATGAACCAGTAACAAACTTTTACCTAACAATTTTGGTATGCTTTTGAATATTACTATATAGGTGGGTGGTGGAAAATTTTTCGATGTGAAAGTGGGAGATGATACAAAAAATGTTGGGAACACCATATATACAATATCAAATTGTTATGAAATATGGGTTTTCCAGCAATACCTCACAATATTAGTATACAGTACTGCTTCTCTGTCATAATGTTAAAATAAAAATATAATGATCTCTATACTGAAAAACTTGTAAGATTTCCCACTACAAAATTTGAAAACCTCATCACCAACCAGTGATAGTCTGTTTTATGCAAGAACACAATCATCAGGCCATGTGTTCAAACATGAAACAGACTGTTGTCACTTGATATTGACCTCATTGTTCACTTTTATATTTACATAGGCTCTTTCCTTGATATTGAGCACTTTTACCCATAAATATAGCATAGCTTAAATATATATATGTATGTGTGTGTGTGTGTGTGTATATATATATATATATATATGCAATTTATTATATATATTATTTGTATGTTATATATGTGCAATACTTATTGGAAAGTGCTCAATATCAGTGATAGAGCTAACATATTTAGTTGGATTGATGCGAGTTTGTGATTCTGTGTTTCACGCTTTTGTGATCGTCCAACAAACTCTGACAACAGCAAAAGCGTGAAACCCAAACTCTGACGATTGCAAAAGCGTGAAACCCAGGGTCACAAACTCACATCAATCCAACTAAATGTATGTATGTATGTATTTGTGTAGGTATGTATAAAGGTGATAGTGAATCTTTAAAAAGCTTGCAAAAAATCAATGTTTATTAGAAATCAAGAGTTCCAAGGAAGAGTTATTTTTCACATTAAAAGAGTTTCAGTAAGTTCAATATTTTTTAAAGCTTTACTTTGCCTAGCACAAGTCTCCAAATATGGTGGATCTGTGTGAGGATGAAACTCACTCCTGTAGCAATAATCTGCAATATTAGTTTCTTAACCATTGCTCAACAAGGTATTTTTTACAAATACTTTAGTCCTTGTTGTGCTAGTTGACTATAAGGGCAAACTCTGGAGACACAGGCACCAACAATGGATCTATAGTAAACCTACAATATGCAAAATGAGTGGTTGAATGAATCTAAAGGATCTGGGCATTTTTAAAAGCATAACCTCTCTTCACAACTTCCGACCTAAAGACAGTCTTTCACAATAAAAATCAATAACAAAAGTTTGAATACATAACACAACATACAAATATACAGAAAATATAAGGAAGCAATCAGTTCTTGCCTGAAAATCAGACTCAATAAAGATATGAAAGCTATATCCAAAGATAAGAGAAAAAATTTGGAATAACAGACCAAATCTTATTTAGGAAGAGAATCACATGAGTTGCTTTTGAATTAGTTCCACATCATAGATTGAATTTTATGGAGATAATAATGATTTACTGATGCAAGTCCTACTGATTAATCCATAGCTGGAAGGGGAGAAGAGGTGTATTCATTTTTTCCCAAGTTTATTTTGTGTAAGTCAATATAATGAACCTGATTGGAATTGGAACTCAGCTCTTCAATTTTCCTATTCCAAGCCATTATCCATTATACCATCTGCACATTAAAGCTTACAGCACCTGGTATTCCCTAGTGGTATTGGTAGAATTTTTGGTACATGACACATTAACAGAATCAGAAATCTGTCTCTCCCACATTCATATTTTAGGAAGAGATGGCTTCATCTAATAATCCTCACTTTTTAGGCATTCTCTTTCAGAGGCCTTTTGTATCTTAGTGGCATTATCACCTTGCTTCAGGTGAATTTTTTAAAAAAAAAACTTACAAACTTATAGACTGACCTATTCTTTACTGCTTATCAACCTTTTGCAGGTTATTTAAAGTCAGAAAATATTTTTAGATTGTAATAACTTTATAGAGATAATAGTGATTTACTGATACAAGTTCTTCAAATTAACCCATAGCTGGGGAAGAATAAGTGGATTCATACCTTTCCTAAAGGTGTTTGTGCATACATGAATATAACAAACTCGACTGGAATTGAAACTCTGCTCTCCGATTTCCAATTCTGAGCCATTATTCATTATACCACTTGCAGATCCAAGCTTCCAGCACCTGGTATTCCCAGGTGTTCACCCATCTAGATACTGACCTAGCTAAATGTTGCTTAACTTCAGTGATTGGATGAGAACTGGTGTTTCCATGTGTAAGCCTCATAATTATAGAGTACTGTATGTACTCATGTATAAGACAACTTCTTGTATAGTGACCCCCCTCCCCCCAAGATTTTTTGTTTGCATTAATTGTAATCCCTCCAGAAAAAAATGACCTATTTATGGTGCAAGGAAAGGTGACTACACCTGAAAGAAAGAAACAGAAAGAAGAAGAGAGCAAGGGCATAAGGAGAAAGAAAGAAAGAAAGAAAGAAAGAAAGAAAGAAAGAAAGAAAGAAAGAGAACAAGAGATGGATAAAAGAAGAAGAGATAAAGTAAAGAGAAAAAAAAAGAAAAATGAAGAGAGAAAGGATAAAGAAACAAAAATAGAGAAAAGGAAGAAATAAAAGAGGGGGTGACATCTAAAGAGAAAGAAACTGGAAAAGAAAAACGAGATTGGATAAAAGAAGAGAGAAAAAAAAGAAAAAGAAAGAAGGGATAAAGAGAGAAGAGGAAGAAATAAAAGATGAAGAGAGAAAAATAGAGCGTGACATAAACAGAAAGAACCTGAAAGAGAAAAAAAGAGATAGGATAAAATAACAAAAGAAAGAAGAGAGAAGACATAAAGAGAAAGAAATAAAGAGAAAGAAATAAAAAGAGAGAAGGAAATAAAATAGAGAGAGAGAAAGATAGAGGAGGATATATAAAGAGAAAGAAACTGAAAGAGAAAAAAGAGATAAAAAAGAAAGAGAGATAAAGAAAGAAAGAGAGAAAAAGAAGAAATAAAAGATAAAGAGAGAAAAGTGAGAATGACATATAGACAGAAGGAAACTTAAAGAGAAAAAAGAGATAGGATAAAATAACGAAAGAAAGAAAGAAAGAAAGAAAGAAAGAAAAAAAGAAAGAAAGAAAGAAAGAAAGAAAGAAAAAGAAGAGATAAAGAGAAAGAAATAAAAAGAGGGAAGAGAAATAAATAAAACATAAAGAAAGAAAGATAGAGGAGGATAGATAAAGAAAAAGAAACTGAAAGAGAAAAAAAGAGATAGGATAAAAAAAGAAAGAAGGGATAAAGAGAAAGAAACAAAAGGCAAGAAGATGAAGAAATAAAAGAGAAAGAGAGAAAAAGATGAGATAATGAGAAAGAAAGAAGAAAAATCTGATTATGAATAAAAGCAATTAATGAGACATTTTATTTTTATATTTGCTTCCTTTTCTTATTTGGAATTTTCTTATTTCTTTCCTGTTTTGCTCTTTGCTCTCTAAAAACCAAAAAGAAAGAGAAGAAGAAGTAATAGAAAAAAAAGAAGAAAAGAGATAATTTATTTTAACATTTCATTGAATTCTCTTCCATAGTTTTTGCTTCATTTTCCTTTCGGTTGTCACACTTCTTAGCTTTCCCTCTTTCACCGTGACAATGTTTCGACTTTTCCCTATCTACTAATCATCTCTACCCACCTGCAATCCCAAGTTGAAGTCACTCAAATCAAAATATCTTGTAGTCTTCAAAAAGAAAAAAAGACCTGAATTACAAGACAGAAGCTAAGAAGCTGTGGTTTTTCATGGTGAAGAAGAAGAAAAAGAAATAATGAAAAAACAATAAAATTTAGAAATCGGTCGGTGCGGGGAGCAGTCTTAATTGGGAGAGGGCAGTCTTTTGGGGTTGGAGGCAGTGGAGGACAAGCATAAAAAAGAAAGAAAGAAAGACAAGCAGAGAAAATAAAAGAACAGAATATAAAGAAAAGAAATGAAACAATGCAATAAAATTTTAGTAATGTCAGAAAAAGGTGGCACGGTTATGCGCTGGGGTGGGGGAGAGAAAAGATCCCCAGTGGTGTACAAAAGCAAATTATGATTAGGCCCGAGAAAATTTTCCAGGCTCTTTTCTCAGGATTTTCGTTTCTTTTTCAGATTTTAAAAAAGAAAATCCTTCTCCATTCTTTTTATTTGTCTGCTCCCCTCCACCATCTTCTTCTTGGGAGACAATGGCAGTTGCTTGACTGGAAGGAAGTATGGAACTGCTTATTGTTATAGTTTAAGAAATGAAAGTGAGAATATTTAAAATTGTTGAAGGAGAAAGAGCAAGAGAAAGGAGAAACAAATTAAAAGAGGAAAAATATGGATCGTTTACAATGGGTTGGAAAAGGTTAAAAAAAAAAAAAATGGCTGAAGTGTTAAAGTGTCAACAAATGATAGAAGGAGAATGAAGAAGAAACAAATGAAATTATTTGAAAGAAAGAATATAAGAGAATGAAAAGATCAAAAGAGTAGAAAGAATGAATTAATAGAGAATATTAAGAATGAGAGAATGAATCAATGAAAGAAAAAACTGAATGAATTCTAAGAATAACAGGTAATGAAAAAATGGAAAATTATAAGGAACAAAAAAGTGATGGTAAATAAAATAAATAAAATTTCAAAAAAAATTTTTTTTTAAAATGAAAGAATCAGAAAGAAAAACCAGGTAATAAAAAATATGAAATGAAATGACATGAAAGAGAAGGAATGAAAACTAAAATATATACAAAGAAAAATTAATTTATCAGGAAAAAGTGAAAAAATTAAGGACAGAATTTTTAAAAAGTAAAAGAAAAAACAGTTCCTTTATTTTTAGACTGAGCTAATTTAGTATAATTTAATATATTTATAGTTTATATTTAGTATAATTTAATTTAGTATAATAATTTAGACCGAGTTGTTTATCAAAATAAAAAGTAAAATGAAGGGAAAGAAAAGAAAAAAAAGAATGAATAAAAAAAAAAAGGAAAATGAAGAGAGTGAAGGAGGAAGAGAATATTAAAAAGTGAAAAGAAATTATGAAAGTGTAATGAGGCAAAAAAAAAAGATTTAGAGAAAGAAAATGAAATAACTGGATAATGTTTGTGAGAACGAAAGAGGAGACAAAAGAAAGAAAGGATAAATGGAATAAAGTAAAGAAATAGATATGAAGAAATAAATAATAGTCAAAAAGTGAATATTAAAAGGAAAACAAGAAAGAAAAGAAATGATGAGAAAGAAGGTACAATAAAAGAAAAGGGAAATTTAGGAAGATGAAGAGAAAGAAATTCAAGAATTGGAAAAAAGAGCAGATTTAAATAAATAAAGAAAGGAGATAAAAAGAGAAAATGAATAAGGTAAGAAAAATTAGAAATAAAAAAGGGAGCTGAGAAAAAAAATGAACGAATGAATTACAGCCTAATGAATAAAATTAAGAAACTTGAGATAATTGGTCAGAAAATAGAATTTTTTTTGTTGTTGATGTGGGGGGGTTCTTTTTTATTCTTTGAGTTTCTACACTTAATCATTTATATATTCTTTGTGATTCTCTAATGAATAGGTTGAAAGAGAAAAAGAGGGAGAAGAAAAATCTTAAATGAAAAGTTGAAGAAAGAAAATATATAAGAAGAGAAAAACAATTGAGAGAAAGGGAAAAAAAGAAAGAAAGAAAACTTTAGAGAATGAGACTGAGAGAATTGTCAACTGAAAAATAATGACAGAAGAATGAAGAGGAGACTGAAGAAAATATTTCTTTTTTTTTTTTCAAGTTTTAGGAAAAAGAATAAAAGTAAAGAAATTACCAAAAAAAAAAAAAAAAAAAAACAGGAAAAAAAAAAAGAGTGAGATGAGGAAAACTGAAAGAATTAAAAATAAAAACTGGAAAATAGAAGCAGTATTTAAGATTGAAAATTGGGATGTTATAAGATAGGAAAGAGAAAGTTTGAACTCTAATCATGTCAATAATAATATAGGCTACGTAGGGAAATTATCAATATTTATTTGAACTTAAACATGACTATCAGCTTCTTTTTTCTTTAAAAAAAAAATTATAGAACTAAAAACTTAACTAAAATGGGCATATTTTTTCGTTGGGATTTAAAAAATGGTGATAGAAAATGATTAACGAAAAATATGAAATAAAGAAAAAAGCCTACGGGGAAGCATTGGTTCCTGAATTTGGTGAATTCTGATAGTGACTTCATTATATGGGCAGGGGAGGGTGTATTTGGACAGTGGAAATGGGCAAGTAAAAATAAATATGAGAACAGTCTACCTTAAATTAAAGAAAAGGGTTAAGTTCAGAATTCCTTGCAGGTTACCCATATCAATACACCTGATGAAGGTCAGGGGGTACAACAGCCGAAACATTGTTATAACAAAGATGAGGACTATAGTCCGAATTGTAAATAGTGTCAGGAAAAATAACTGTAAGACGTCTAAGAGAAAAACAGAGAGCAAACGAAAAGAACAAAATAAGGAGAGAAAGAGAGAAAGGATATTAAAACTGAAAGGAAAAGGAAGATTGGGACAACAAAAAAAGAGAAAGAAAAACTGAAAAGGAGAATGGAAGGGGGAGAAAAATCAAAATATAGTATTCGAAATTTGAAATCTACCAAAATCAGGTAATTAATTACTAGATTCCAATAAAAATGTTCAATACTTATTTTTAATTAATGAATGAATCTATTTAGGAAAAAGGGTTTGTGCAAAAAAAAAAATTATGTAAATATTTTTAATTTATTCTTTTTTTTAAGCCAATTAAGCCCCCCACCACCACTTTCTTGAGACTTTTTAGAGCCTTCTCAAAATTAAAAAAGTAATAATAAAAAACGTCACAAGAAAAAACCAAAAATAAAAGAAAAAGAAATAAGGAAACGCAAAAGAATAATAATAATAAAAAAAAAAGATAAAGCCCCAAAATAATATGTAAAAAAAAAAAAAAAAAAAAATGATGTATGGAGACAAGAAAGAAAAAGCAATAGATAGCAAATCAAAGCGGTAGGCATCTCCGACTCAATTAGTATCTGACCAGTATCAGGATCAGGTTGAACATGGAAGACGACGAGATCACAACCCGATCCCCACCCTAAGTACAAAAGATTTGCACCCTTACACAACAAACACAGGGAAGGAAGGAAGGAAGGAAGGGAGTGAAAGCATTTAAATGGTTACAGTCAATGACGACTACATAACTTGCAGAGAAAGCAGTAAGACAAAAAAATAAAATAAAATAGAAAGAATGCATATCCCTCAATCCTATCATAAAAAAAAAGCCA